ACCGTTTCAAGGTCCTCAACTGAGGCTGAGTATAGGTCCATGGCCCATGTCACATGTGAATTACTATGGCTGTTTTCTCTGCTTAAAGATCTTAAAGTTCTTCATTCTGGTCCTGCTCATCTGTTTTGTGATAATCAATCTGCTCTCCACATTGCTGCTAATCCGGTTTTTCACGAACGAACGAAACATATTGAAATAGACTGTCACCTTGTTCGTGAACACATTCTCAAAGGCACCTTGAAGACTTTTCCTGTCCCTTCCTCCAAGCAGTTAACAGATCTTCTCACTAAACCTTTACTCCCTTCCAAGTTTTCTGTTATGGTTTCCAAGATGGGTATTATCAATATCCATACTCCATCTTGAGGGGGCCTATTAGCATATATATTTTATATTTCTGTATTTTCTGTTTACCTTTTCCATTTATTGTAATTAGTTTTCTAGATGCTGAGTTGTCATTCTGTTGTAATTGGATTTCTAGAAGCTAGTTTGTTATTCTGTTTGAGGTGAGCGGTGCCTGTGTGAAGAAGGTGCTGGATTCACGCACCTTTCGGTTATGCAAATGCCTATATCTCTTGTAATTTCATTTCCTTTTTCAATCAATGAAATATGCAGTTTTACATTTTAGTATGCTTTCTTTCTCTCAGTCACAGAAAGCTAATAATACATGAGGTTAATCTCAGTACCATATATATAAAAAATGTCTAACTAACAACTACGCTCGCTAAATGCTCATAGACAACTTTTGGATCACATTCTATGATTTTTTGGATGGGCTTGTAAAAGCCTAATTAGTTTGATAATAGTCGTTTGAGAGAAAAAAAACAACAGAAAAACCTAGGTCAAACTACTCATTATATATATAGAATTTTAGATAAACACGGTATTTATATTTAATAGTAAATATGCTTGGCATATATTTTGTACTTGAAAAAAACTTACGTAATCCTACAAATGATGTCATAATTTATTTTATTTTATTTTTTCAAAATTGAGTGTAGCCATGCTAAACACCTTTGTTCTTAATCGGCCACACAAGTCTAATTCATTGGGCTAGCTGATAAAGCTCACATAAGAGATTACATCCCTCTAACTCTAGCGTGAGATATTTAAGCCCTCATCACAGAGAATTTCATTCCATAAGCATAGTACACCTCATGTACTAGGTGAGGAGAAAAGTTACGTACTAGGTTAGGAGAAAAGAAATTATAGTGCTGGTATACCATTATTTGGTGTTCTTTTTTTCTAAATTGAAAATTTTGTATGACATTTTTACTCTTATTATTTTGGGCTTTTTGACCACTATAGCCTTTTTTAATAATTAATTACCAAATTAATCTTATTTATAAACTATTTTGAAAATTTAACCTCTTCAGAAAACATAACACCAATATGCTCCTGTTTGACCGTTGACCATGAAGCCTACCCGGGTACACCCCTCCCTACCCGGGTATTTTTCGAAATCTTTTACCTACCCGGGTATATTTCTTGATCTGGAAAAAAGTTTGAATTATTTACCCGAGTAGGTAGGGGTGTACCCGGGTAAATAATCATACAGAAAATGAAATACAGCATCTCAGAAATTCAACTGTACACTATTAGAAATTAATGCAAAAATGTACAGAGCTGCATCATAAGCTCATATAATACACTAAATAAGATCACAAAAAGGAAGTGAAGCATACAGAAAACATCTTCTCAGTAACGACTTTCCTTAATGACTTTTTGTCACCGTTAGCTATTAGAGTATTTATCTGGAGAAAAAGAAAAGAAACTTCAACATTGGCCTTTCTCAAATTGTCCTAACTGAGAAAACTTCAAGGCAGTTTTCTCAAATTTATTCTCCTCGATGGTATAGCTCCCAAGTAACTATATCACTCTGAATTGGCCTTTCTTCAATGTCTTACTTCTTTCCAACAATACACCTCTCCAAATCTATTAAATGATATCAATCTTGCATCTATGTTCTGTCAAAGGAACTGCATGTAGCAAATCCTGGTACTCACAAGGCACGACAGAGGTGCAGAGCCAAAAAATAGATTAAGTATATTTGATTCATGTACACCATGGTAGAGTTGCAAATGGCAGAATGAGTCATAAGACAGAACACCATGGTGTTATTTGATTCATGTACCTGATTCTAACTAGTGGGTAAGGCTTTTGTTTTTGTTGTTTGTTGTTAGGAGAATGAGTAAAAGAAATAAAACCTTAGTAAAGGCTGCAAAAATGTAAAATACTGTCAGAAAGTCTTCATTTTCCCTTGTTGTTTGTTTTTTTTGTTTGTTGTTGGGAGAATGATTATTTACCCGGGTACACCCCTACTTACCCGGGTAAATAATTCAAACTTTTTTCCAGTTCAAGAAATATACACGGGTAGGTAAAAAATTTCGAAAAATACCAGGGTAGGGAGGGGTGTACCCGGGTAGGCTTCATGGTCAACGGTCAAACAAGGGCAGATTGGTGTTATGTTTTCTGAAAAGGTTAAATTTTTGAAATAGTTTATAAATAAGGTTAATTTGGTAATTAATTATTAAAAAAAGGCTATAGTGGTCAAAAAGCCTATTATTTTGCTTATTTTCATCTATGTCTTACTTTTTTTCTACTTTTGGCCAAGGTACACATGCAGCCGTCCACTATATCTTTTCTCATAGATGAGAGTGTTTCTTACATCTAATGGGATCCACAATATCAAAATAGTCATTGAACGGACACATTATTATATTTATTCCAATGCTATGCTATTATGGTACCCTACATCTCCCCCTTAATTTTCAACCTTCACTTGAGATATATTTATTGTGACACTCCATTGAGTTTAAGTTCATACTCCTACCTCATCAGTGGTGGACCCAGAAATTTTTTCTGTAGTGGGCTAAAAATTAAACATTTATTTCTCTCTTCAAACATAATATATGAGAGGCCAAAATATGAAAAATCAAATATTAGTTCCTTTCTTCAACCACAATATGTGGGAGGCCGAAACATCAATCCAGAGAACATAACTCATAAATAGCTCTTTTAACTTGTTATAGAGAGAAAAAAGGAGAGAGAGAGAGAGAGAGAGGAGAAAGATGTTATAGTAAAATCTACTATCAATTTGAAAAAACTACACATTTTTAACCCTTAAAATGAACATTTTTTATGCAAAGAAAACAAAGAAAAAGATAAGAGAACAAAGGTTTAGATTTCACAAAAAATATATACTAATTATTATAATCTAAATAGATAATTCAAAGCAGACCCCTCTCATTTCTTAACCTCTTTTTCTATTTACTCACTGCTAGCCCAACAAGAAAAAAAGCCAAAGATAAATTAGAAGAGACAGATTGACAAGAAGCACAATCACCAAAAACCTTTTGCCCCTCACTTCCCTCTCTATCACGAATCATCAGAAAAGGAGAGGGATCGAAAGAATAAGGTTCATTCTTTCATAAGACTCTCGGGCTTCTTATTTTTATTCATGGATGGGAAGATTTGTGCTAACATCTAAGCATAATAAAAGTTGAAACTGTAAGTTTCAAGTCGAGGTTTAAACTATAATTTAAGGGGAATGTTATATTTACAAACTTTTCGTTTAGAAACTCTTACAAACTATACTGTGTCTGACCGTCATACTTTAATCAAGAGTGTATAACTGGTCATACTTAGTGTAATTTGTAAAAAACATTTGTAAATAGATCTTTCTCCACAATTTAATGCTAATTGTTACCACCAGGTCTGTGCTAAAAGAATTTGAACTAAGAAAAACCTTGTAGCTCTATTGGTGGTCATTGATACTCCCAACATTGTGATGTAATCTTAAATAAACCTATTTTTTGTTAAAGCAAAAAAAGACAAGAAAGCATTAAATCCTGGATTTGATAATCGTGACTTTCTTTCTCTATCTCTTAACTCTCTCTAAAACCCCCAAACTAAACCCTGAGCATACTTTTCAATTCTACAAGATCTAATCATGGTACCATACTCTTTCTCATTCTTTTTTGTTTGTTCATTTCGTTAACTTTCTTGGAGGGAGAAAAAATGCAATCAGAGTTAGAGAGGTTTCAATAGATATAGTACCTGAGAATATAAAGAAGTTCTATAAACTCTTTGCGGTGGGAGAAAACTACTTCACATTAATGGAGATAAAAAATGGAAATTTCTTGCATTATACTTATGTTAAAACATTTCTTCACATTTTGAGGGGGATGGCCACCTACCTTAGCACCCCTCTGGGTCTGCCCTTGTACCTCATAGATCATTATACAAATAGCTAGACCCATATCACACCAACAATTCAAACTTTTTTTTTTAGATAGCTTTAATAAGTTATTATATATTTATTGATTACTAAATCCGAAAAATATTTATTGATTAGAAAGGCCCAATATACTTCTTTTATACATGTGTAAGAGATAAATTTATTTCCTATAACATGAGAAACATTAGACGAATTGACATAAGCATTTTGTGTCAGACTATAATCGCATGTTGACATAAATGGCACTATTGTCATTATTGTATAAAAAGAGAGAGGATAATTTAGCACATCAAAATAACAAAGAAAAAAAAGAAGAAAAAAAAAAAAAGATTACTTTCACCATGCAACGTGCCCTTAGATTATTCCCAGCTTTGATACCCATTTAACTCACATTAAAGCATTATTTATGTATACGTGGTGCTCAGTTTTGATGAAAATCGAATCGAGACTGTCAGTTTGAAGTTTGAGCCGAAAATCATGTTGAAAATCAATGTAGTATTCATGTTACGGAAGATTCCAAGACTAAATAATTAGTATGCCACAGTGCTCCTGGTTGTCATCGTAAGGAGTCATGGAATTAACTCAAATTGATGTCTCGTTGCTAAAAAATACAATATATGTAGTTTGTTTGATTTATTAATCACGACCACAATTTGCAGGATTCAATGCCATTTATTCAAATGAAATCAACAAAAACATCATAAAATGGCAGTCTCGGTCAATATATTGCGGTATCCTCTTTAATTGCTATTCAGTGATCTTCCTAAGGTTGTTTGCTTGGAGTAATATTGAGGTCGAGTCCAATGTTTATTCCATTGAAAGCAATGGGAGCATACATCCACAGATCGTCAGAACTCAGAAGCTGTTACAATCAAATCAAAATAATCAGTACTACCTATTGCCAAAACGAAATTTAAAATTGGATAATAAAATCTTAGTATAGAGCTAATGTTTACATGTTGGACAAGGAAGGTTTTCAAGTTACCTTAATTTGGAGTTGCAAAAACTTCACATACTGTACAGCTTCCTCGAGCATGGTGCTGATATCCACCTACATTTCACCCGGAAGCTTGAGAATTTGAGCATATTAACCTTTTGTTTAGTAATAGTTCATTATGCATTGAGAAAGCTATACGTACCTTGGTTCCATTAGGGACAAGATTTTGTAGGATTTTCAACCTTTCATTTATTCTTTGTCTTCTCCTCTGCACAATGCAAGAGATAATAACAAAGTCATAACCTTTTAGCCAATGTGCACATGCAATTTACTACCAACAGTATTAAAGAAAAGCCCTTCTTACTCTTGCATAAAGGCTCTGTGAATCGGTGGCAGGACATTTGTCAGCTCTTGATTTGGAATTTAATTTGAGAATTGCGGGATCTTTTGGGCTCAGGCTTGAAGACTCCTCTCTAGTTAGCCCCACAGAAGCATTAGAGTCATCCTCTGAGAAGCAACTGCTTGAGCTCCGTCCCTTTAGACAAGCACTTCTATCCTCTTCATTATTATTGCTCATTGAAGCAGATTTTGGATTCAGCTTTGACTTACCATTCTTCCTGCTGTTCTTTGAGACCTACATAACCATATCATTATTAAAAATATACTCAATATTCTGAATGAAAATCAAATTAGCAAGTAACAGATTTGAAATGCCTTCATTATTCTACCTCCATTGAGCTCTTAAATCTTTTTGCTGGGTTGCAACTTCTATCCTCTACCTCGGGATCAAAAACCCTGTTATCCTGAGAATTGTTTTCTGGGTGTAGACCTGACTCTTCATCTATATGTTGGCTTGAGTTGTCATTCCTTAGAAAACTATGTGGACTAATTTTGGCATCCCCCAAGCAAAAACCCATGGACATGGAGCCAAAGGAGTAGGTTCCACCACCATCAGTAGTGGAGCTACTCCCATGCGAGAAACTGAAAATATTAGTATTACTATTAGCAGCAGCTTTTGAAGGAAAATATGAATTGTTATTGATTCCTGTCACGCTCACTATTGTAGATTCATGGCCAATTAATGGAACATCAAAACTTGAACTTCCATAGAGATCCTCTGGGACTGAAACGGAATAGTTACCGCCAAGCAACTGAGTCATGAAGTGAGCTTCCTCAGCTGTGTAGAGTCCACTAAGAGAACTCCATTCTTCAGAAATCAACTCAGCAGGCTCCATTTGCTCTTGTTCTAGTGGTCTAGTATATATGTATTGTTGAAGAAACTTGATTTGTTTCAATGTTTACTTGAAATGGAAAGTGAGAGCAGTGCTAGTATATTTATACCCAACAAGGGATTGGCTTCTTCTTATGAAAAAGATCCCACTTCATAATTGGCAATAATTAGCATCTGAAACCCTGAAACAAAATTTGAACTAGTCCTTGATGGGAGGGACCACTCAGAGGATCCAGCTCAAGGTCTTGATCTCTGAAGTTGTAAATAGTATCGTAGAAGTTCCATATGTCTGTATATTTCTTATTTGGTTTAATATATAAATGAAATCTCCTCGTGTAGTTGACACAAGGATTACAATGAATACCTCTTGTATCTTGATAATTAACATGGTATCAGAGTCTCGTGTCCCGGGTTCGATCCTCACCGTCACCCATTTTATCTTGTGGAATTTCTTAGCACAGGTAGCTTGAGCCTGTTGCATCATCCACCTTTCAAGCCCAATGGACTCTCTTGTGAGAGGGCGTGTTGAGATATATAAAATCATTAATATAGCCTCACCCAACAAGCTTAAGCTTTTGGGTTGAATTGACTCTTTACATAGTATCAGAGTTTGAGGGGGAGTGTAGTTGTAAATAGTATCATAGAAGTCCCACATTGTGTATATGTCTGTATATTTCTTATTTGGTTTAATATATAAATGAAATCTCTTTCGTGTAGTTGACACAATGATTACAATGAATACCTCTTGTTGTATCCAATGCGGATTCGAATGAACAAAAAAAGAAACTTTGATAATTAACAATCTCCACTAAAATAGTAACCCTTGCACGGGGACAAGGCTTAATATTGTTCCGCAGGTGAGATATAGAAGCATAATGGTCAAACATTGCCAAATAAGACAGGAGTGAGATTTGTGCATTAGAGGAGAAAGAGAATGGGAATAAAACCTCTATCAATTTGAGAATTAAGTGGGGTTGGCCAATGGCCATGATCATATAATATAAGAATCATTAATTTGTTTGTCTGTAGTCTGACATTCTAAATACCTTTTTTAATCTGAATCTGATAGGGACATATTTGTCTGCCAACTGGATTCGCGTCTGATGGTTTAAAAATCAATCTAATTCTCTTCAACTCAAGATTGTGTTTTGTTGAGGATTTTAACCTACATTATATAAATTGAGTGATCAGCAGATCATATTCTGTTATAGCTAAGTTGTTAACACCGTAATCTAAATAAATATGTTTTGAACTGCGTTATGCTTTTCAAGGTCGATTTTTTGTACTGAACAAATGACTTAATTTATAGTACTAGCTCATCTTCAAATCCCATCCCATTTTAATCATTGATTTTACCACACCAGTAGCATCACATCACAATGAAATCATCTTCAATTATTCATTTTTCTATAATTTTCTTTTATACCAAGAAATCAATCATATATGGATATCTAGTTTCATTTCTCAATCTCAACTTATATTCTTTATTTTGTCCTTACAAAGTGTAAATACTCTCCCAGATTTATAACTGAAATGTAACTGTGAAAGCATGTAGACCTTCCTCAAAATAACAACTAACATCATTCCTTCACACCTCATCGAAAACCAAAAAAGAAAAGAAAAAGAAAAGAAAGAAGGATATACTTGTGTTGGAATAGAAGATTCTATATGTTGTTATGATTTGCTGTGATATGTTGTAACCTGTAGTTTGTTAGGATATGTATAACCGAGTCCTATTGTAATTAGGTGTAGTTACTTATCTTTAGGAAGTTGTTTTACTATTTGGTAACAGACTGTTTGGTAACAACCGTAACAGCCTATTCTATTTAAGATACATTGATGTACAGTTTTAAATCAATGGAAATACTATCAATTGATACCATTTATCATGGTATCAGAGCGATCCCTTGTTAAAAAAAAAAAACTTCTGCAACGTGTAGACTCTGAAAACAGTGAGCAGGAGATAGCTTCTGTTGAAGATGGCCAATGAAAACAGCAGCAGGTTGAAGCCATCAGACCCTGGATCACCATTCTATCTGACTGGATCAGATAGCCCAGGGATTCTTTTAACAACCGTTATGCTGAGAGGAGAAGCCAACTACGAGAATTGGGAAAAGTTTGTTGAACGTCCTCCATGCATTCACTGCGGGAAAACTAATCATGAAGCCTCTCGATGCTGGCAAGCATTTGGCTATCCTGGACGTGGTGGTAGCAGAGGACGAGGACCTGGACGAGGACGTGGACGTTTCGGTGGTGATAGGAGCAGTAACCCACAAGGAGGATTCCATGCAAAGCCATTTGGTGCACACGCAGCTCAAACGGAGGAACCACTAGAGCAAGCAAATGCATTCGCCGTTCTGACACCTGACGTGGTGACACAATTGTTATCATTGGTTGACAACCCGCAACGCTCAAAGGACAAATTAAATCGTAAAGATTCCCATTGTCACTGGCTTATAGATAGTGGTGCATCACGCCACATGACAGGGGTATTGGAATTGCTGGAGAATGTTACAGATGTTGAACCTTTGGCAATCGGTTTACCCAATGGAGCTATTACTTATGCTGTGCAACAAGGATCTGTTTCGTTTACTCCTTCTTTTTCATTATCCAATGTCTTATTTGTGCCAAATTTAAAGTGTAACTTGATATCTGTATCTCAGTTGGTACGACAACATAATGTTGATGTGGTATTCACTAATAATAGTTGTGTTTTGCAGGACCGCAAGCTGAGGACGGAGATTGGATTGGGTGATCACAGGGATGGTGTGTATGTGTTTCGACCAAGCCAAGCAGCAACTTTAACAGTTCGCTCCAGTGATACGCAAGAACTTTGGCACAAGCGGTTGGGCCATGCATCATCCGAAGCACTTTCTCTGATTCCTTTTTCTAGTAGCATTCGATTTGGCAATGTAAACAATAAGGCATGCGATATTTGTTATCGTGCCAAACAAAATCGATCCTCGTTTCCCATTAGTGATCGAAAGAGTAATAAAATTTTTGATCTTCTTCATTGTGATACATGGGGTCCTTACCGCACTTCCTCTTTCTCTGGTGCTTATTATTTCTTAACGATAGTCGATGACTTCAGTCGTGCTGTTTGGGTTTGTTTGATGGGTGACAAAAGTGAAACTTTTGGTGTGTTACGAAAATTTCTTTTAATGGTGCAAAATCAGTTTAATACAACAGTTAAGAGTATTAGATCAGATAATGGAACTGAATTTACTTCCAACAAGATGATTGAATTATTCACTGCCAATGGTATATTTCATCAGAAATCCTGTGTTCATACGCCGCAACAGAACGGTCGGGTAGAACGGAAGCATAGGCATATTCTAAATGTGTCTCGTGCTCTTTTGTTTCAAGCAAACTTGCCAATCAAATTCTGGGGAGAGAGTGTGATGACAGCAGCTCATATTATTAATAGAACTCCCACAAAGCTTCTCAATGGCAAAACTCCTTATGAGCTTTTGCATGGATCTGTTGCTGATTACAGTCACTTAAGGATATTTGGCTGCCTATGTTATGCGGTGACACAACCAAAACCTACAAACAAATTTAGTCCACGGTCTAGGCGGTGTATGTTTGTTGGTTATCCTCATGGGCAGAAAGGTTGGAGAGTGTATGATCTTAATACTAAGGAATTCTTTGTGTCACGAGATGTCAGTTTCCACGAAGATGAGTTTCCTTTTGTTGCTATAAGTGTGCCTACACCTAGCCCATCATTACCTACATTTATACCAATAGATTCTAATGATTCTGACAATCCAGTATCTCAATCAACTTCAAATGATTGTGAGGCAGAAGTGCAGTTGGAAGATAGGGGGAGTGTCCATCAGTCTGAAAGGGAGCCGAATGAAGATTCTACATCAAATGCTGATCAAGTGCAAAGGAGTGAGGATCCAGCTCCTGCTCTCGTACAAAGGAATGAAGATTCAGCTCACGAACTTGTGCAAAGAAGTGCAGAATCAGCTCAAAACGATTCTCTTCGTCCAGCACGCACACGAAGGCCTCCGTCCTATTTGAGTAACTACAAATGTAATCTGATTGAGGCACATACATACACTCCCAGTCTCACCTCTTCTAGCTCCACCTCAGGTATACGGTATCCAATTGCCAACTATGTGAATACTAACAATTTTTCTTCAAAACATCGAGTTTTTGTTGCTGCTATTGATGCAGGTAGTGAACCTCGGTCATTTAAAGAAGCAATGACCAATGATGTTTGGCGTAAAGCTATGGCTCAGGAGATACATGCACTAGAAGAAAATAATACGTGGACTATCACTGATTTACCTGCAGGCAAACATGCCCTTCCATGTAAATGGGTATATAAAATTAAATATCATTCCAATGGTAGCATCGAGCGCTACAAAGCAAGGTTGGTAATTGCAGGTAATCATCAAGTTCCAGGAGAAGATTTCCATGAAACTTACGCTCCTGTAGCGAAAATGGTGAGTGTTAGAACTCTACTCTCGGTTGCAGCTGCAAAAGGTTGGTACTTGCACCAAATGGATGTTCATAATGCGTTTCTTAATGGAGAACTGGATGAAGAAGTGTATATGCGCATACCGGCAGGCTTTAATCAAGGACAAGGAAGAAAAGTGTGTCGTTTGCAAAGGTCGTTATATGGCTTACGACAATCTCCCAGGAATTGGTTTGCAAAGTTGAGTTCCTCACTTATTAAATACGGTTTTGTTCAATCCGAAGCAGATCACACTTTGTTCACTTTGAAGCGTGGTTCTACCTTCTTGACCATACTAGTCTATGTTGATGATTTGGTGTTGGCAGGCAATGATTCCCAAGCATGTCAAGAGGTTAAGATTTATCTTAACAAGTGTTTTAAAATTAAAGATTTGGGTCACTTGAAATATTTTTTGGGCATCGAGGTTGCCCGTAGCAATGAGGGTATCTTCTTGTGCCAACGAAAATATGCATTAGATATCCTCAAAGAAACAGGTTTGTTGGATTGTAAACCGGTTCAGTTTCCAATTGAACAGAATC